TGCAAGAATAAATGTTAAGCACCTAGGGTAGACTGACTCGATTAAATATTTCACCAGATTCACTCCAGAATAATTAAAACCTTGGAGAAGCAAAATAATAGCAAATGTAGAGGGCTGGGGTTGATCGTGCTGAAGGTGGAAGCATGGCTGAGAGGATCGATGAGAGGTGGGTAGGCAAGGAGTGGAGAGTCGAGCAGGGAGAGCTGCTGTGGCTGATGGTGCGAGACAGATTTGTGGGCAGCATGAGCTTCAAACACAGGGGAGACTTGGTTGTCAGGCAAGTGAGATCACAAGGAAACAAAGAGCTAGGCAAAACTAAGTTGGCCTTGGCAAAGGGTTTCAAAGGAAACTTGTGGTGCACCTGCAGCATGTCTGTTTTTGTCTTTATCCATCAGCTTGTGACCTCTCCTCTTTGTTTTGTCTACTATTCTCTTGTCCTTTTATAGTAATCTCTGCATTTTCTCTCTTCATCTTCCTGCCATGGTGTTTTTTATCTCTCTTTTTTTTCCCTCCCATGTTTTGGTTCCTCCCTCCCTCTCTCTGACCTCTGTTTCACTCTGCGTTCTGCTATTCCATTTTGCTCTGTGATGGCTGCTCCCTCTTTAAATCTCTGTATTAGGAGGAAGGTAACACTTTGTCTTCATTCCGCCGCTCAATTCATCACAGAGCGCCCTCGTTCTGACACTGGCTGCCGTTATCTCCTTAGCACAACAGGCCCTTGAACATGCTGACCTGCTCATATAATTGTGTTGTTGTATCATAGCTGTAAATGGGAAAATAAGTGTATAAGCAATGTGATGTGATGGATTATCTTATTTGAAGTTAAGTCAGAGGTCAATGATCTGGCTCATTCTGCGTGGGGATTGGCTGTATTATTCCTCTTGTGGCTACTGAGAAGGCACAAGGGACACAGCTAAGCTCGTTCTTACGAGAGCTCTAATTTTACTCAGTTTTTCTAAGATTTCTTGCCTTTTTCCATACCAGAAAAAGCTGTATCAGCTGTAGCATTAGCTTCAAAACCTGCACACAACCATTAGAATTCTTTCTGCAACTTCACTGAAAGGAAGCATAAAATTATATAACAGCCATGAAAATATCAGCAAGTAACCCAAAAGGTTAGGCCAAATTACTCGTCAATAGAACGTCAATTCTTTGTAGATGCCAGGAATCATCGTGATTCATACCGATTAGCTGAACGGGTCATCTCATGCTCTCTACCACTTCCCTGCACGTCACACATCTCCTGCTCCTCCTGCCAGAACACGCAGTCGTGCTCGGGCTTTAGTGAATGTGGCTGCTTGTGTGTGCACTGTGGGAATGCGTACCTACGGTTGCGTGGCTGGTCATGCAGCGAAACATCAGAGAGAGCCTTTCCCTTTCTTCATTGTCCTCCATTTGTTCCTGCCCTGCAGGCTTTATTACCTCCCGCTCATTCAGGGATTTCTCTGTCCTCTAGCAAATGAGCTGCACTCACTAGACTGTTTTAAATCTTTTGAATTCTTACAGCAGTATATTGGACTCTAATCTAATCACAGCTACATCGACCTCAAATGTTTAAGGAGTTTTAAGGAGCAACGAAGCTCCTTAAAACTCTTGATTTATGTTGTGCTGGTAGTCCCAGGCACAAATAAGGTGAATTAAACAGGGAGGTGTAAATTTAACTCATTGACTTGCCTGAGGGCAGCACAGAGGGTGGCGGTTAGAACTGTTACCTCACAGCTAGAAGGTCTAGGCCATCTGGCCGAGGCCTTTCTGTGTGGAGTTTGTATGTTCTCCGTGTGTGTGTGTGTGTGTGTGTGTGTGTCTTTGGACATAAAAGTGGGTTAAGTTAATACTAAATTTCCTATTGTTGTCAATGTGTGCAAACAGTTTTCTGTCTCTCTGTGTTAGCTCTGCGACAGGCTGGCGATCTGTCCAGGTTGTACCTGCCTCGTGCCCTATGGCAGCTGGGATTGGCTCCAGCCCATCCATTCATCCACCAACTCAAACTCTTAAAGTTTAATCATAGCAACAAATTTTCATAAAAACCACATTTATTTGAGCTTTCTGTAAACAAAACAAACTGATGATGGCTCTCTATATTAAGTGTACATGTGGTTCCCTGGACTGCAGCAGAGTAAAACTTCTATTTCGTTAACTAGTCCAATAAATCATACTGGGTGTTAGGATGATAATCTGGGTCACATAAGCGTTACGTTATTGATTACATCAGTGACAGCTGCTTTGTGCACGTTTCATCCAGTCAGCAAACAAGTTATTATGAAGATTATATGTTGACATAAGTCCCATTAAGTTTTTATTTTTTATTTTTTGATTACATAGACAAATTGTTTATCATGTTGTTGATGGGGTAATTATCAGGAAATCCAATAATCCCAATAATCCATTTTTTATTCAATGACAGAGCTAGATGGACAGATTGTGGGGAATTCCTTATATTTTGCATTAATGCATTAAAATGTCGCCCTATGACAGCTGGGATAGGCTCCAGCGCTCCCCCGCAACCCTGAAAAGGACAAGCAGGAGCAGATGGATGGATGGATGCATTAAAATGTTTCCAAGACTGTCACTGCAACAATCACAGGCCATTATTTATTTTTTTCTGCTGCTTTCTATTTAAAAAGTGTCAGGCTTTTCTCAAATCGGGTCATGGCGCTGCTTCTCTTAGCTGTCGCATGTATGCGTTCGTATGTGTCTGTGATTCCTCCTGGAGGAGAAACACCTTCATTCCCCTCCAGACCATTGCCCTTGCAGGCATCGGTCTCAAGGGATTGAGGGATAAGGGTCTGATTCGGTCTTATAATGCTGGGAAATGTTGATTAGAACCAGATGTGGAACGTGGAACAAAGCAGGTTAGCTTCCACATACACAAACAGATTCACCTCTTCAGTTTACCCTCATACGCTGTTTGTTTCTCCCTCGCAGGTGGCCGAGTGAAGACGTGGAAGAGGAGGTGGTTTATTCTGACTGACAACTGCCTCTATTACTTTGAATACACAACAGTAAGTAGGCAATTTGGTGTGTGCACGTGTGTGTGTGTCAGGACAGAATTTGACCATTTCATGGTGCACAATGGTGAAGGTGTGCTTTGCCAATTCTTAAAACGTAAAACCTCTAGTGACTGTGAAAACGTATGCACAAGTGGCAAATTTATGCAATTTATATGTAAAAACGACGTATGTTCACACACCGACCTCAATCACACAGTTTCTATATTTAAATCCACAGAAAATGAAACAGTACTTTTTATTTGAAATATTATAATTAGTCATCATGTAGATGTTACGAGCCTTGGTACCTTCGGTAGTTTATCGGTTAAGTTTAATCAATATTAAACCAGTTGTCCAGGTGGAGTTTGGGAACAAACATGCAGACATACATATAATCAATCATCATGATGCTGGTGTTAAAATAATCTATGCTAAGATAATCAGCTAATTGCACTGCAGTCATGACTTGGTTTTCAATATCGGTGGCCAACTCTCAGCAGAATTGCGAGTAAATATGATCTCTAAAATGTCAGACTGTTCCTTTACGAATGCATCTGTAATAAATTTTCACATTATTTTAAAATATTTAACCCAGGACTGTTTAGTACAGTTTTGTGAATAGATATAGTAGAGACGGATTAAACAACGGGGCATCAGATTAGTCTGTCACACACACATGCGCGCACACATATTGGCACTGGTCTGTGCCTTCCAGCTTTGCTATTTAACAGATGCAGCCCCCTTGACCTAAATGAACCTCACTCCAGCAATTAACATGAGACATCATAGGAAACATCTGCAAAGTCTGCAACACACATCTGGCCCTGCTAAGCTATAAGCCAAGTGTCTCCCTCAAGCCCGCGACCATGAATCCCTCAGCACATACAAACGCCTTCTGTGGTGGGGGGCATACGCAGAGCCAGCTGTGAGCAGCTCTCCCAGGGCATTTCCTCCCCCCACGCTTTGCCACCTTATTAGAAGGAAGATGACAAGCAGGACATGGGGCTGTTCCTCAAGAGCTCTCCCAACACACACACACACACACACACACACCTGGCCCCGCAGACACAATGGGGGGATGGAGAGAGTCGGGTTACATCTCCTTTGGGTGACCAGGATGAATAAAAACCTTCAAAGTGCTTTAATCGAACCTTGATTTTTACTTGGATGCATTCAGACTTAACATAAAGGTAAAAATGGCACCTAAATAGCAAATGTGTTGCATCAAAAACTCTGGGAAAATTTTGTGACACACATATGTTTGAGGTCTTGTTATTTGAAACTGCCTTTAGTAAAACTCCACGCAAGAAAACAAAAAGTACTAAATGTCGTCAATATTACCAGTGATGATAAAAGTGTGAAGGTTGTTTGCAATTACATTTTTACAAATTCTTGTTTTGTTTTTTTTAATGAATCATATTCTGTCCCACCAACAAACAAGACAGCCAGCATAGCCAGTATATGAAAGATGGATAATTTAAGTTAAGTTTTTGTCATTTTTGGGAGGATCTGGCTCAGAAACACTCATCCAGAAGCATCATGCCCCTGCTTTATCATCTATTTTACCATAATGGTTCCATAATTTATAGAATAACATCATATTATATCAATCATACCTGAAACATGCAACTGAGACCATAAACTCACCGGAA